AAAAAAAATGACATTAGAATTTTTTAAATTATTTAAATTGATACATAAAATTCTACACATTTCCAGGGTACTATGTGATATTTTGATGAATGTATACATGTAAAATGATTCAGTCCTGGTAAATATACTTATCTCCTTGAACATTTATCATTTCTTAATGGTGAAAACATTCAAATATTTATATATGAACTACAAGAAAAGATTAGGCTGTTTCCACTCTTGGCTATTATCCATAGTGCTGTAAGGAACATAGCAGTACAGGTATCTCCTTGACATACTGATTTCATTTCCTTTGGAAAATTCCAGGAGTGGAATTGCAGGACCATAAAGTAGTTCTGGTTTTCATTTTGTGAGGAAATGAACTCTTTTCCATAATGGCTGTACTAATTCATATTCCCATCAACAGTGCATTGGATTATTCTAATCCATAAACACAGTATGTCTTTTCACTTTTTTGTGTTCTCTTAAGAAACTCATAAATGTTTTGTAATCTTCATTATAGACATCTTTCACTTCTTTGGTTAAATTTATTCCTAGCTATTTTGTAGCTATCATAAATGGATTTCTTTCTTTATTTTTGTTTCAGATAGTTCATAATTGGAATAGTAAAATGACTTACTTTTGTATATTTTTTAATCCTGCAGTTTTATTGAAATCATTTGTTCTAATTGTTTTTTGTTTTGTTTTGTTTTGTTTTGGGTGGAGTCTTTGAGGTTTTCTATATTTAAGACTATGCCATCTGCAAACAGACACAGTTTGACTTCTTCTTTTCCAATTTGGATGCATTAATTTCCTTCTCTGGACTTAATGGCTCTGGCTAGGTCTTACAGTACTATGTTAAATAAAAGTGGTGAAAGTGGGCATCCTTGTCTAGTTCCAAATCTTAGAAAGAAAACTTTCAGCTTTCCCCACTCAGTATATTAGCTTCTGGGTTATTATAAATGGGTTTTATCACATGTAAGTATTTATTCATATCTTTATATTTGAATCCAAAACAAGCATGTAAGCTCCTTGAAATTTTGGCCTTGTTTGTTCTCATCATCTATGGGTACTCAGTATTTAACCCAGAGTCTGACACACAGTAGGTACCTAATAAATGTTTGTCAATTACATGGCTTTTTTAAAAGAATAAAGCAATTCTATTTTTAAGAGTATGTTTTGAAAACATCCCACTTGCACACATGCACACTTGGCTACACATACATTCTCTCTCCTCCTCCATTAACCTCTCCCTTGCCACCCACAACCCCTACCCCACCGTTCAGAAATATCTGTTCTTTACAGAGAGAATATCTCCACAAAAAAAAGGAAAGTTTTCCTTGCCTCTTTGTCTCACTGTCAAACCCCTGGGGAAAATATAAACAGATACTGGTAGAATGTATTGCATACACAGAAATACAGCCACAGGGAAAAACTGGGAAGCTCCCAGCAGACACAAGAGGGAACTGTGGATCCTATTCTGGAGAGATTTGTAAACTCTTAATAATCACTGACTTATAAAACACAGCTCATTTGGCTCAGAGTATTAAAAGATGTTAGGTCTCTCAAGTTGCAAATAATATTTTCCATCCATGAGTCAACTTTTTTACTACATAAAGGAGAAGATTCTTATGGCTGAGTTTCTCTCACATCTTTCTCTCCAAGTCAGAAATGCTATCAGGTATGTAAGGAAGTCAGCCTGCATCATTCACTGCGGTCAGATGACAAGAGCAGGCGGTTCTTCTGCAAATCCTTAAATTCTTTGTTGCTTTGTTCTTTGTCAGAACAGGTTAGGTTCTCCACTTCTCCCACCGTAGCCCTAAGGGAGCCTGGAGTGACACAAACACGCTAAGGGCTCACACTACAACTCAGGGAAAGTGGTGTTCAAATGTCTTAGATATTTTTGAGGAATCACTAAATTCCTTTCAGTTAAAATATGCATGACCTTGTACCACTTTGTAAATTAGTCAATGGACAAATTATCTTCCAACAGGAGCAATTAAAGCAGGTTGTTATTTTTTTAGAGTTGTTGTAAGTACAAAGAAAGAAAGAAACAAGTCAGTGGACTCTCTTTTCCTTTGGATTTGCCTATACATTAATCTCAAAAACATTTTTAAAAGAAGATGAATCCATGTACTTATAATTTAAAAAGAACTTATTTCAGGGCCAGTGGATTTAAATTCCCATATGTGGTTAGAGCTGTAGAGGAAGGTCTGGCTCCCTTCTCAGTTATACAAAATGAATTTCATGGTTGTTTGTCCTCTTCTCTCCAACTGTGCATTTGTACTATCTTTTGAGATGAACAGAAAGACAAAAGAGGTGAATTTAAATTTGCCCTGTGATCTGCTAATAGATGTAATTTAGAGGTGTAGGTTATAGAAATGATGCAGTGAGATTTTGAATCATCTGTGTAGTTTATCTTTCTCTGATCCTATATAGCTAAAATTTCACTCTGGCAGAAAAACATGTCAATAAGATCTTGGCTAGCATGAAATCAAATAATTACCAAAGTAGAAGTCAAGACTCAAGTTTTGGTTCCCAGTCACACACAATGCATTGGAAGGTACCAAGAATTTCCTGGTCTATGAGTAGGGTAAGTTAATTTGTGTCTCATGTTATTGCGTAGTATCTTAAAAAGCCTCAATATCTGTTTTGATACTAAATAAAAGTTGTCATGCCATCTGCACTATAGATTTATTTAAGTATTCCTAACTGGAATAAATATCTTTTATGACCCACAGTATACAGATGGGCACACTGCAAAACACACAGCTCAAGAAATTATCTATGCATGGGACTGATGATATAGCAGAATTTTTTGTAATATTTTTTTAGTTGTCAATGGAACTTTATTTTATTCATTTATTTTTAATGCAGTGCTGAAAATCATACCCAGTGCCTCAAACATGCTAGGCAAGTGCTCTACCACTGAGCTACAACCCCAGCCCTGTAGCAGCATTCTTGATTGCTTTGGCAAAATAAATTTGTAATGGGGGAAGAATTTTATTCTTTGTGTTCACTACTGTACCCCCACAATGATAGGAAAATAGTTAACAATAAATAAGTATTTGTCAAGTGCCTAAATAAATAAATAAAGTATTACAATTTAAATTCAGCACCTAACCTTTTTATTTCAAGCTATTTTCAAACTCAGAATGATAGCATGTAGTCTGGTAAATGTAAGTATTATTATGGAAAGTATATTTGAAATTAAAATTCTTCTGGAAATTTTGGTACATGTGGTCATCATAATTATAATCCATTGAACTAAATCATTTGGAGAAAATGTACATTTTCATTTAAATCATGTTCATTAGATAAATGTTTTCATTATTCTAAAAATATTGTAAATTTAAATATCTTGGCAATAAGACATTTATCATTCTGAATTTGTCCAGGTTTGATCAAGTATGAAGAAGCAAACCTCTTGATCTCTGCAGATTGTATAAATGGCATAAGTATGGAATTTTGTGAGTATCTTCACAGTGACATTAATAAATAATGCCATCAATTATCCTACTTTTAAAGACAATAGATTGTTAAATCTAAAATACTGATGTTGGCTTACTCAGTCAAATATCATACTTTAACCAAGAAATTTTAGGTCATAGAAATAAACCTGAACCAATAGTTTTAAGAAGGTTGTTAGCAAAATATCCACTTCTTTAGTCTGGTCTCAACTCTTGATGCAACCAATATCAGAAAGATCTTTCTGGTCTCTGCACATCCTAAAGAGACCCTTCTATTAATTATTTAATTCATACTTAAAATAAAAGTAAGATGATCAAGAGATCTATTATAGAGTTTAGGGCTTAACTCTAGCAAAAATGAAGGCACATGGTTTTACATACTAGAGAAACAGACTTACCCAGCAGCAAGGTGTCTCACAAACCAAGCCACAATGTAGAAGAATGCAGTTTGGGAAGTGGGGATGAGATGAAGCCAGGGGAAACCATGGTCCACAAAAGAAATCATGTACAAGTGATATAACACCTGACTTCAATTACTTAAGACCCCACCACCACCATCATGAAAGGGAAATTAGACTTCCTTTGTACAGCTTCAGGAAAGTTTAAATTTACCTGGGGAGTGCCAAAATCAATGTGTAAAATTAATATAAGGAAACCAATTTTGCTCAACATGAACTACTCAGAGACAACCAGAGTTCCTCAGGAGAGGAATGAGCTGGACTGTTCACCAAATCCAGACACTACTTGGGAAGAGTCTGATCTAGAAAGAACTAGGTAGGTAGTTCTCACAACATTTTACAGATTCTGAGGTGTTCTGCAGCACCTCTCTAAAAGTAACAAATGTAAGTGGGCTCAAGACTCTGATACCACAGTTCTAATCTTACTTGGTTTTTTATCATTGGACGGTTGTTTTTCATATTTATACTAAATTTTCAGCGAAGTGAAAGGATGAGATCAAAGTTTATATTCATACATAGAATATACAACGGGCAATGATGATTTTTACCATTAAAGATGAAACATTACTAAGACTCAGGGTTATAGGAACATTTGAAATTAAATGAGGTCTATTCCAAATCCATCTCCAAATATACCAGTATTTCTAGGATTTACTGAGTGCACATATCTAAGTGAGACCCTTAAATCTCTCTGAATACCAATTTTCTTATCTATGAAAGAAGAGGATAAAGTGGACCTCCCTACAACTCAAAGGCTCATTAGGAAAACTAAATGAGATGGTGTAAAAATACTTAGTACATTTTCCAGTATTGTATGAGCAAAACCTTCAAAAGTACCTCATTGTTCACTTCTTGCTTACTTCTGTTTTTCTAACAGCTTTAGGATCCCAGAACAGAACAGTGCATTTTGTGACTGAGTTCATCCTCCTGGGTTTCCATGGTCAAAGGAAGATGCAAAATTTCTTCTTCTCATTAATTCTGGTTCTCTATCTCCTGACCTTGCTGGGGAACGGAGCTATTGTCTACGCAGTGAAATGGGACAGGAGACTCCACACACCAATGTACATCCTCCTGGGAAATTTTGCCTTTTTAGAAATTTGGTATGCTTCCTCCACTGTCCCAAACATGCTGGTCAATATCCTCTCTGAGACTAAGACTATCTCCTTCTCTGGTTGCTTCCTCCAATTCTATTTCTTTTTTTCACTGGGTACAACAGAGTGTTTATTTTTATCAGTTATGGCTTATGATCGGTACCTGGCCATCTGCCGTCCATTACACTACCCATCCATCATGACTAGGAAGTTCTGTGTAACCCTGATCTGCGTGTGCTGGGTGAGTGGATTCCTCTGCTATCCAGTCCCCATCATCCTCATCTCCCAACTTCCCTTTTGTGGACCTAACATCATTGACCACATCGTGTGTGACCCAGGCCCATTGTTGGCCCTGGCCTGTGACTCTGCTCCTTCCACTGAGCTTATCTGTTACACCTTCAACTCAATGATTATCTTCGGGCCCTTCCTCTCCATCCTAGGATCTTATACTATGGTACTCAGAGCTGTGCTTCGTGTTCCCTCTGGTGCTGGTCGAACTAAAGCTTTCTCTACATGTGGGTCCCATCTAATGGTGGTGTCTCTATTCTATGGAACCCTTATGGTGATGTATGTGAGCCCTACATCAGGGAACCCAGCAGGAATGCAAAAGATCGTCACTTTGGTTTACTCAGCAGGGACTCCATTCCTAAATCCGCTTATCTACAGTCTCAGAAACAAAGACATGAAAAATGCCCTTAAAAAAGTCCTGGGATTAATAACTAGTTAAAGCTGAGACCACTTTGAAATAAATGTTGCATAGGCCACTTTTCTTTTAAGAGGTTACAGAATTATTTTTATGGTTCAGAACAATGGGATTTACTGGTCATGTTCATCCACCTTCTACCTTTGTTCCCCCTCCCCCATACTTCCCTGTCCCTAGCAATCCCTCTTCTACTTTCAGGTCAACCTCTTTTCTGCCATGGTCCTGGGGATTGAATCCAGGGTCTCATACATATGAAAGAGAACAAGCAATACTGCACTTTCTATATTTGGCTTATTTTGCTGAACAAAACGATGTCATCTAGTTCCATACATTTTGCTGCAAATGACAGTATTTCATATGTGTTTGTGTGTGTATACATACATATATATGCATACATATATACACATACCATGTATATACACACACACCATATATTCTTTATCCATTCATCTATTGATGAGCACCTAGGCTGATTGCATATCTTAACTATCTTGAATAGTGCCACAATAAATACCAATATGCAGATATCTCTCTTGTATCCTGACTTCATTTTCTTTGGTTATATACTAGGGAATGAGATTGCTAGATCATACAAATGTTCTCTTTTTAGAGTTCTGAGGAAACTCCATGCTTTTTTTCCATAGAAGCTGTGGTAATTTACATTCTAAGTGTGTCATTTTTTTAAGAGAGAGAGAGGAGAGAGAGAGAG